CTTGGCTCTGCCCCCGACAAATCTTTTAAAAATTATTTTTTATTTATTTTGTTAAATTTTTCCTAATTACATGTAAAAGATTTAACAATCTTTTTTTTAAATTCTGAGTTTCAAATCTTCTCCCTCCCTCCTTGAAAATGGAAGCAATTTAATCGAAGTCATACATGTGAGATTATTTAAAACATATTTCTGTATTAGCCATGTTGAAAAAAATAAAAAAACCATATTAGCCATGTTGCAAAAGAAAACACAAACAAAATAAAACATAGATGGTATGAGCGATGTGATGGGGAGAGACTAGGAATTGGAAGACTTGGGTTCAAATCTTACCTCAGACACTAGCTGTGTGACCCCAGTCAAGTCCCTCATGTTCTCTGTGCCTCAGTTTTCTCTTCTGTAAACTGAGGGACCTCTGGGTCCCTTCCAGCTCTCCATTTATGATTCTATGAACTTGTCCAGGGTCGTATAGCTCGTAAGCATCTGAGAGGGATTCTAACCCAGGGCTTCCTGACTCTAAGTCCAAGGCTCTAGCTAAAACACCCTAGATTACCTAAGATTAAGATTAAGATACCCTAGAAGGCCTCTAGTTCAAACCCATTTTAAAGAAGAGGAAACTGAGGCCCAGTCTGGTAGGCACTTGCTCCAAGTTGTAGAACTAGGAAGTGGCAGGGCCAGGATCCAAACTTGGGTCTTCTGGCTCCAAATCAAACATTCTTTCCACTGCCCCATCCATTTGGAGTCCTATAAGAAAGAGGCTAAGGGGCTCCCCAAGAAGTCAGCAGAGAACCAAATATTGCTTGTCCTTCATTCTCAAAGAAGACCATGACATTGAGAAGGTGACTTCATGACTTGAAAGTAAATTGGATTGGAGTGAGGCAGGGGCTGCACAAAATCACCAGCCTCACTTTCTCCTCTGGAGCCACCTGGGTCCAGTGGCCAGATATGGATCAGGATAAATGGAGATATGGCTCTGACTGCAGTGGGAGATGTTGGCCAAAGAGAGAACCAGATAGCCCTGGGTGGAGAGAGTTCTGATGTGAGCCTTGGGCACACTCTCTTCCTCTCCCCTCCACCTATCATTCCCACATCAGCCCCATCCCTTAGCCTTCTTGTCCCCTGGGTAATTACTGACATGGAGCAGCAGGGTCTGAGCTTCGTTTCTTTTCTAGCAATGAGTCATTGGCACATGTGGCTTCCTGTCATCAGGGCCATGACTGATCTGGGGCAGGCTGGTCAATCATTGCAATGAATCTCTCTCCCTCGCTCCGGCTGAGTCAAAGGCCCTCTGTTTGCCTTCCTCATTAGCCCCTTCCCCACTCATGTTCCTACCTCCCTGGGACAGTGGGGGTTGGGGAAGGGTGGTGATGAGGGGAAAAGGATGGAAGGTTTGGGTTTCTGAGGAGGTTGGGAGACTCATGACCTCTTTGCCTGACCAGTCTCTCTTCTACCAAGAATGGACCTGTCCTCTTCTGCTGGTCCCTGACAGCTATAAGCTCCAGCTCAGGGTCAGGGGAAGAGGCTGATGAGTTCAGGATGGATGTGGGTATTGATGGGAAGGGGAGGGATTTGAGCTCTTAGGAGATTGGAGCTATAGAAAACTAGGGACCACCACTACTGGAATAACCACATTCAGTGTCCAACGTCTAATTCACAGAATCCTTGGGTGTTAGAACTGGAAGGGGACTCAGAACACAGAACATTAGAACAGAGAACGTCAGAACTGAAAGGGACTGTTTTTCCCCCCAGGCTAGACCTGAGATTTCGTCAATATAAAGAGTTCCTATTGTTAAAGTCACCTTAAGTATTAGAGCTGCAAGAGACCTGAGAAAATAGAATGTGAGACTAGGGACTGATCTTAGAACACAGAATGTTAGAGATGGGAGTGTCCTTAGAATACAAAGTGTCAGAGCAGGACCAACCTTAGAACACAGAATTTCAAAACCTGAGAAGGGCTTTAGAACTCAGAATGCCAGAGCTGGGAGGGACTTGAGAACACGGAATGTCAGAGCTGGGAAGTCCTTAGACCACAGAATGTCAAAGTGAGAGGACCTTTAGAACAAACTTGAATGTGAGATCTGGAAAGAATCTTAAAAGATAGAATCTCAGAGCTGAAGGAGGTTTTAGAACATGGAATGTCAGGGTGTGACCTTAGAGATCAGAGATCTCTCCTCTCCCTTCCTCCTGCCATTTTATATGAGAGGGAACTGAGGTTTAGAGGAAGTCAGTCAGTCAATAAAAATTTATTACTCACCTACTATGTGCTAGGTGTTGTGCTAAATGCTGGGGCTACAAAAAAGTCAAAAGATGGCCTTTGAGCTCAGTCAAATCAAAAAGCAATTTGCTCAAGACTGCTGAGAAAATTAGTGCTACAGCTGGAGATTAGACCAGGGTCTCCTGTCCCACAGTCCACGGTGCTTTCCCACAGCCCAGGCTGCCTCTCAGCTCTGGCTGGTTCAGGCCATTGGCCCAGCCATTTGACCTGCTGCTTCCATAGAGAAAGGTGGGCTGGGGATGCCTCCCACATCCCTCTCAGTCTCCCAGGCTAGCCCTTCCCTGCTGTCAAAAACTACTCCATCATGGCTCCAGCTCACCGTCAAACCAATGCCAAGCATGCTTTGGACGCCATTTCTTTTTTGTCTTAAAAGCAAGTGCTCTTAACCTCTTTTCAGTGGGTGACTTTCTCTTCTTCACCTTTCTTCCTCTCCCCTCATTTCCACTAGGGGTTCCCAAGGATAGAGCTCTAACTCCCCGCTCAGGGTAAGACAAGAACTCTGAGTTCTCAGCATTCTCCCACCCTTAGAAGGCATCACGCCTGGAAAGAATGCTGGGCCTGGAGTGAAGAGAAACCCGGGTTTGAAGTGCACAGCTGGGTATCCATGGGCAGGTCGCTTAACCCCTGTAAACCTGTTTCATTATTTGCAAAGTGGGCAGAACAGCTGCAGTGCTCACCTCTCAGGGCTGTTGTTAGGGTAATAAAACTAGGCATCATGTCACTTTGAGGTTTGCTGAGAGCTTTATACCTGCTCTCTCCCTTTATCCTCATAGCAACTGGGAGAGGGTGGTGCTGTTACTAACCCCATTTTACAGAGGAAGAAATTGAGGCTAACACACTTGGTAAACCTCAGAACAACGTACAGTGGCAGCTAGGTGGCACAATGGTGGATCTAGAGTCAGGAAGATGCGAATTCAAATCTGACTTCAGACACTTACTAGCTATGTGACCCTGGTCAAGTCACTTTACCTCTGTCTGCCTCAGTTTCTTCATCTAGAAAGTAGGAATAATAAAGTAGCGTCTTCCTTTTTTTATATGTAAATTTTAATTTTGACTTTTTTTGGGGGGTGAGGGGAGATAAGTATAGGTGATCAGGTATATTCATCAATCAATATTTATTAAGCCCCTGCTATTATTAAGGCACTGTGTTAAGTGCTAGAGATAAAAAGAAAAAGGCAAAAGACAGTCCCTGACCTCAAAGAATGGGGAAGAGGACATACAAATATATACAGAGCAAGCTGTATCTGGGATAAATAGGAGATGATTAACAGAGGGAAGGCACTCTCCAAGGGTAGTGAACCTGTAGCCCCGAGGCCACACGTGGCCCTCTAGGTCCTCAAGTTCAGCCCTTTGGATGAATCCAAACTTTATAGAACAAACACCCTTAATAAAAGGATTTGTTCTGTAAAACTTGGACTCGGTCTAAAGGGAGTACCTGAGGACCTAGAAGGCCACATGTGGCCTCGATGCTGCAGCTTCCCCTGGAGAGATCCCAGAGGACAGGACTGTGGTGCCTCCTCAAAGCAGATGCTCCCTAAGGGCAAGGACTATGTCTTCTCTACCTTCAGACTGGAAGCTGTCTGCGGGCAAGGAAGAACAAACTGAGCTTTTAGCAGCCCAAGGTACCTGGCAGGTGCAGAATTTTCTGAGTATAAAGCTGCTCTTGCCTCTGGGCTTCCTTAAACGCTCAGCTCAAATCCCACCTTCTGCAGGAGGCCTTTTTCTCGTCCTTGCAGCCAGCTCCCCCGTCAACGTACAGTGCTTTGAGATTGCCTTCTATTTACTCTCTGTATCCCCTATGTATGTGGTTATTGGAGTATTTCCTCCCATTGGAAAGTAAGCCCATTGAGGGCAAGGAGCAAACTTTTTGTCTTTTTTTGTGTCTCTAGGACTCAGTACTTATAGGAATATATATCTATATATAGGCAATGCTTAATAGTTTCTTAATAGTTGGCTGATTGGGGGGCCAGGGAATAACAAGAGAATTGGGTTCTTTCTGTCATTTCCTCATCTCCTTTTCCCAACGTCTTTTACCAGAGTCCTCTGTGGTCCTTCCCAGGGATTGATTGATGAAAGAAGATCTGAGGCCCTCATCCCCAGCATCCACCAAGGGAGCATCAAGACTGCTGGTGTGATGGCCCCAGGCATGCCCAGCCCCCGGCTCTAAGCCGGAGGGCCAGCCTGGTGGTGTGTGTGGGCAGGGTGTTGGGGAGGGGTGTGTGTGGAATAGTCCCAGCAGGAGCTGGTATGCCATTGAGGTTTCCATAGGCAGCAGGTGTAGCAGGAAGAGCACTGTTTCTAGTGTCAGAGGAGCTGAGTTCAAATCTCCTTATTAAAACCACATGAAGATAGGTCAGTCATTGATCCTTCCCCAGCCTCAGTCTCTCTAGATGTAAAATGAAGGGCTTGGAGAGACGAACTGTGAGGTCCCTCCCAGGTATGAAACCTATGTGATTCCCCTTTCCTCATACCTGCAGTCTTTCCTCAGTGGGAGGTCCCAAAGACCTGTGCACCCCATCTTTCTGCCTACCCTGGGTCCAATAGCCCTCCTAAGCCATGGGCCCCCCAGCTCCTTAAAGCAGCTTCTCCACCTGACTGTCTCTCAGCTGTTAGACCGACAGCATCTTAGGACCTAATAATGGAGCCTTGGGCATGGAGCCAGGAGGTGGGGACAAGGGCTGTAGCTAATGAGGTCACAGGGCAAAATTAAAAGGCAGGTGGAGGAGGGTAACCCATCAATCTTTGCTCCTGCTCTCCCATTCCTTTTGTGTTCAGTGTGCCTCACGTGCCGGAGCCTGGAGGACTGGGGGCTGGCTCCGGAGGGGGGAGGCACCCACTCCCTTCTGTGCTGAGGCTTGTCGGCATGGCCCAGCAGAGAGCAATCCGGCTGTCCCTGCAGAAGCCCACCCACGCCGTCTGCGTGGTGGGTACTGACGCCTCACTAGATGTCTACGGGTAAGAGCCTGGAATTTCCGAGCCTGTTTCTTTTCATCTCATATGGCTCTTTGCCTTCCAGGAATTGCGGGTGTGGGTGAGGGTCTGCACCAGGCTCTGGGGGGGGGAAGTCTTGGGAACGTTACCGGATTGCTGCCAAAGAGCTGTTTTGACAGGACAGACAGGGAGGCAGTAAAGCTGTTTCAGACAGGGAATCTCACCTCAGGAAAATAAACTGAAGAGCATGGCTTGGGGTAGGGCTGTGTGTGTGTGGGGAGTCCAAAACTAGGAACGTCATTGGATGGACCACAGGCAGGGGACTGGGAGCTTGGGAGGGAGGGGATCCTGCATGGCTCCCTCGCCAAAGTCCAAGCTTCCAGGGGCTTGAGATAAGAAGCTTGTTGGGAGCTAAAGTGATTGGGAATTCATGGGCGAGGAAGGACGACGTGGGTAGAAGAAGCCATCAGATCCCTGTCTTTTAGCACTTGGATAAACCTGAGCTTTCTCGGTCTCTGGTTCAGGCTCTCCCTTTGGCAGACTAAGATCTTGTTTCAGTTCTGCCGTCGACCAGCTGGGTTCAATTCTTGAAAGTTATTTCTCTTCTTTGGGAGGAGATTGGACTAGATGGTTTCTACCCTACCCCCAACAGCTTTGACATTGTGTTCTAAAGATCCTCCCAGCTCGGACAGTCTGTGTTCTAAGGTGACTTCTAGCTCTGACATTCTCTCTTCTGCAGACCCTCCTAGCTCAGATATCCTGTGTTCTAAGACCCCTCCCAGCTCTAACATTCTGTGTTCTAAAGACCCTCCCAGCTCTGACATTGTATCCTAATGTCCTTTCTCAATCTAACATCCTGTGTTCTAAGGTCCCTTCTAGCCCTGACATCCTGTGTGTTCTAAGGTCCCTTCCAGTTCTGACATTCTGTGTTCTAAGTTCATCCACTTCTGACATTCTATGTTCTAAGGACCACTTCCATCTCTGAAACTCTGTATTCTGAGTACCCCTCCAGTTCTGATTATCGAGGACTCTCTGGTTCTTTGCCACACCAGAACCTCAGGGGTGATTGGTGGTGCTGGTGATAGATAGATCGTTACTTTGTGGGTCAGGTGGGTCCAGAGTGAGGAAGATTGGCCTGACAAAGGAACCTAGCCCTGTCTGTTTCTGGAGAACATTACCTGGGTCTGCCCTGCCTCAGTGTAAAGGCTTTGAATTTTGGGGGTGAGGAGTGAGCACATTGTCATTGAGTCACAATCTGGCTTTTCCAGGAACTCTCATGACCCCATAGCTAGTCCAAGACCCACCTGATGTGAACTTTTTCTAAGTTCCTCCACAAATTTAGATGCAGATCTGAAGTGAGAGGATTTGAGTTCAAGGCAGACTTGCTAGTTGTGAAACTATGGGCAAACCCCTCCACTGTGCTGAGCCTCAGTTTTCTCATCTGTGAAATGGGAAGAATAATACACTATCTACTACAGTGAGTTGCTGCGAGGACAGTATCTTGCAGACATTTAGCTCTTCTTATCTCCTGGAGGTAGGTGGCCCTTGCTAGGGAAGCCATAGAGGGCATCCTGGATGTGTTGGGTCAAAGGTTGGCTTAGAATACCTCTGACAATCCTTTTGATTCTGAGACTGGATGAGACTAGAAATCATTGTTTCTGCCTCATCAGCTTTCTTCCTCTTTGGTATAAAGAAAATGGTGTTGGGTTTGGAGGCAGAGGACCTAGGTTCAAAACTTGGTTCTGCCACTCAGTACTTGTATAACCTTTGGCAATTCATTTTATGTTCTCTGTGCCTCAGTTTCCTCATCTGTACAAGGAAAGCCCCAAGTCCATGAGAGCTCTAAGACCCCTTGACAAGAATCAATGTTGTATAGTGGAAAGAGGGCTGAATTCAGAGTTCACGTCTCAGCTCTGCCCCTTATTACCCATGTTACCCTGGGCCAATCTGTGCCTCAGTTCCCTCATCTGTAAAATCAGGGGGTTGGACTAAGTGACTTTTTTCTTTTAGGCAATTGGGGTTAAGTGACTTGCCCAGGGTCACACAGCTAGTAAGTGACCACCTAGCTGCCCCACTAAGTGACTTCTAAGGCACCTTCTAGCTCTGAAGTGGGAGGGAAACAAAGGGAAATGGTATCGTTCATAAAGTTCAGTCTTAAGGCAACTAGCATCCCCCTGGGGTAGGAATGGATGATAGATGAAGGAGAAGAAAAGGTCCCAACGTCCCAAAGGTAGTGGCCTCCCACGACTGGTGTGGTGGAAAGCACCTTGGAGTTGCAGTCAGGAAGGTCTGGCCTGGAATCCCACCCTATGTCACCTTGTCTCTTAGGGCCTCTATGATCCCATCTATGCGATTGCCCGGCTGGCCTCAGTTGCCTAAGAAGAGTGCTTCGTCAGCTTTACCGCCTTAGAGCAATGAGAGCCAGTACTCTCATTGCTTGCCATTTCCTCCTGCTGTTTCTATGCCAGAGGCTGGGGACCTTTGGAAGCCACAAGGCACCCTCAGCTATGTCCCCCTCCTTCTGGAAAGCAGCCGTCCCCTGCACCAGGAATACCCACAGGATATGAGCTTGAACCCAAACCTCTGAAATGATTATCGAGGTTTACATTGAGGTGGCCCTTGGAAATGTTTGCAAAGCACCTGACAGACGTGATCCCATTTGAGCTTCCCACCTCCCCTGTAAAGGAGGGGATGTCCCCATTATACAGATAAAGAAGCTGAGGCATGAGATGTATAAGTGACTTGGCCAGGGTCACACAGCTAGTGTCTAAGACAGGATATGAATCCAAGTCTTTCTGACTCCAGGTCTGTCACTCCTTCCCCTCTGTCACTCCACGTTGCTTCTCTTGGTAGGATCCTGTGTCTGGCACTCCTGCGCCTCCTTTCTATACCTGTAAGAGGAAAGGGGGAGATGTTCTTGGGCAGGCTCTTTTGGGATCTCCAAGTACTGGAAGGCACACTTCAGAACTAGGATTCAGAAATGGTGGTGGAGAGAGAGGGCCCGGCTGCTCTTGGCCCGGTCTGGCTCTATGGTTGGTTGATTTGGGAGGGAGGGGGTTCAGAGTGCTCAGTGGAAGGGCAGCTGGGATTTGAGCCGCAGGCACAGGTTCCCAAGCCTGTCAGCAAGTTTCTTATTGTTGCTGGGCTTCTTTGTCCTCACCTCTAAAAGGAGACAGTGGAACTAGATGGCCTCCTTCAAGTTATAAGTCTAGTGATCCCATGAATGTCTGGGTCTTGGTAATGACTCCTTTTACAGCCCTGGTTGGGGAGGCCTGGGAAGAGAAAAATCATCATCAGAAAAGCCGTGACAGCTGTCTCCTATCTCTAAACTAGAGAAATCGAGGTTAGACTCAAGGAAGAACTTCCTAGTAGGGAGGGCAGTGAACAATGATCTGGGTGGTAGAAGGAGAGCATGGAATGACCTTCTGTGGAAGGAATCATCTAGTCTAGCCTTTTATTTTACAAAGGAGGAAACTGAGGCCCAGAAGTGTAAAACAACTTATCTAAGGGGATACAATTAGTAGGTAGCAGAGCTGGGAATTCTGCCTCATGTGCCCTGACAGTAAATCTCATCCTTTCCCCAATTGGCCATGCTGGCTGAGGGGGCCATGCTGGCCAGAGGCAGCAGCTGGGCTGGTTCTTCTCGCCAGAAGCTCTTTCTCTCACTTGGGAGGCGTGTCTTAGAGGCAAGGACCTTGGCATCCCCCAGGCTTGGCGAGTGTTCCTCAGCAGCCCTGGGGGCTAACTGCTGCTGCTGACTGGCCAGGTTCATGAGGGGGTGGTATGGCCCCTGGGGACACCACTTGCCAGTCATCTGACTTTGCCAACCTCCCAGACTCATGGAGAGAGTTAATGGGGTGTCATGGGGTTGACCTCATGAGAAGTGATTAATTACCCCGAAGGCACCAATGGGACTTGGTTTGGAGAAATATTTGTGTTTCGGTGGCTAATTGTTTGATGGCTCGAACCTAGAGTATCTTCTTCTTAAAGGGACAGCTTCCCAGTTTGACCCTCCTTAGACGTAGCATGAGGCAGCAAAATATCTCCCCTCCCCCTATGTCTCCTTTACCCCAAGGTGTCTAAAAGGAGCCCTAGCAAGTTGGTGAAGCAGTTTCAGATGGGAGATGGGTCAAAGAAGCCACCTCATGACCCCTGATTCATTTGAGACGATTCCAGCTTGCCGGGTTCCCCCTCCTGCCAAGGCCTTCCTTCTTCCCTGCCCAAAGGCCTGGAGGGCATGGACCTTGGCCAAGCTCCCCAGCCTTGTCATGGCAATAAAGAGAGAACCTGAGACTGAACAAAGCCCCAAACAATGCAGTCCAGCCAATCTCGGTCTAACTGGCCGCCCAAAGGCTCAGAGTCAGAACTCTGTGGGGTGGAGGAGGTTAATGAGTGTTAATTAACAAAACCAAAGAAGACGGAGGAGCTCTAAACTTCTTGGCTGGCCTCATCTCTTGAGTCCCCGTTCTTCCTCTCCTGGTTTCCCCTCCCTCCTCCCCTTTTGGTCGATGCTTTATTGATGATCTTTGTAAAAAAATCACGATCACTTCCTAATGACTCTCCCCAGACTCCCACTAGAAGCCTCTGTTGGACAAAGAAGTATAATAAAGTCAACACATTGACCTTGTCTGACAGTGTACGCCTCGGTCTTGCACTTGTATTGGTCGTCTGTGTCTGCTGGGAGGCTGGAGGCACACCTCGCCTCCTCATCTTGATCAAGCTTCTGGAGCCTTCCCGGTTGTTTTCTTTTACATCCTTGTGGGCATCATTTAAATGTTCCCCAAGTTTTGCTTATTTCATTTTGTATCCCGTTCCTACAAGTCTTCCCTAAATTCTTCATATTCATTTTTTATAGTGAAGTAATATTCTATGACATTCAGGTACCACAATTTGTTTAGCCATTCCCAAAATAGATATCTCTCTCTCTCTCTCTCTCTCTCTCTCTCTCTCTCTCTCTCTCTCTCTTTCTCTGTTTCTGTCTCTGTCTCTGTCTCTCTCCTTACAAATAACATTTAGAGAAACTT